AAATCATTGTCAAACCAACAACAAGTCTTAATTAAAACCAAAAGTAGTCTAAAATAAAAGATAAAAATTTATCTGAGTCCTCCACTAAACTCTTGAAGTTTCTTTGAATCTCTTCTCTTTTACAACACTCTCAATATAAAATTAAAATAAAAAGGATAAACATGTGGTGGCTGAAAATCTCTCCAACTAACTCCCCAATTTTAGAACTTTCAAAACTTTCCCAGTACTTTCAGGACCCCTTTCAAAGTCTCAATCTTCCTTCTTTTATGATTCTCCAAAAGGTGTTTTGGTATCTCTTCAAAATTTGTCTTGATTTGATGTGTTTCCCCAAGAGATGTATCCTTTCGCAATAATTTTTGTCCATAGTGGTTATAACCACCTATTAATCTATTAAGCCAAAAGGTGCCTCAAACACCACTTTAAAATTCACAAAAATCAAATTTACTCATCCAATAACTACTAGTGACGTTTAAGAAGCACCGGTTAAACAGAGAAGGCCGAGCCTAAACGCCAGAGACCCTGCTCTTAAACGCCACTAGTAGTTATGACGCTTAGGCGCCAAAACTCTTTTGCACATTTTTCACTTTTTTTGCTCCAAATTCGATCATTTTTCACTCATTTAAGCATTTTTCACTATTTTTACCTGTAACTGCAAGAAAACCACAAAAATACCTTCCATTAAAGTGCAATATCTCAAAAATAGATATAAAAACGTGTCTAAAAATACTATATATTTTAGGTGTATCTCATGTCATTAAATACTATATATTTTAGCTCATGTCATTTCAAATCCTGAAGTGGTGTTTAATACAATTGAAGGTACTCATAAACTTGATGAATTGGTGGCAAGTGCTTCGCTCACAATATAGGTGATGCATAATACTGAGCAAGGTGATATGAAGTGTAACCTGCTCATAGTGGAAGAAGGCCTATTATAGGTTAGGGAGCACTGTTGAGATTCCAGGGAGCACATAACTGACCTTGAGACGAGAGAGGTGGCGACTGACCTGGTACCTGACGAATGAATTGACGAGATGGAAGCGATTGTTGACATCAAATTTTTATATCACATAAGTATGGTGTCCACTTGAATGTCTCAGAAAGATTCACTACTCACTTGTACCTCAAGATACTCATCTGAGCCCTTCTAGTATGTATTTAAAGCACAAAAAAAGGGTTTGCGATGATTCAATCTTACCTGGGAGAATATGCCATTAGATGGGCTTACTCATTACATGAGATATGTTTGGTGTCCATTCCAGTGTTTAGAGAACATATCATATCCACATGACACCTCTCGTGGATAAAAGTACCCATCGAAGCTTCCCATAGGCGTTTCATAGAAGGTAAGGGTCTAGAACGATGTAACCACGGCGTGGTTTGGGGCGACCACCGACAATGAATCCTTTGATAAATGTCCAATAAAAATATTCATTTCTAAAGTTATAGGATCATATTTGATTCCACATAGCTTTCAAATGAAGAAAATCCTCTAATACATGTTTTCGATGAAAATGAGTTTTTTGGGGCTATACCAGTGCTAAGGTGCCAGCCACGGGCACCTAGGGGCCCAAAATAACCACTAAAGAGCTTAAAATTAGAGAGTTAAACAAGTAGGCACTAGTATTTGGGTACCTAGGTGCTCAGATTGCCCTCCGGAGCCTCCAAACCGAGAACTGAACAAGCACGTGCCAACCTACCGGTTCTCAGGTGTTATTCCTACGTGCCTAAGTGCCCCCTTCCATGCAACATTTTCCTAGCCCTTGGAAAGTAGGCACCAAGAACCCAGCGACATGGTGCCAGGATCGAGGCACCTAGGCATAAGATTAAATTTTGGCCCCATTTTCTTCTCAGCGTCTTCACCAAACCCCATTAAAAACCACCTTTTAAGTAGCTGAAAAGCTTGCTTAAGGGGATATTTAGGGAATAATCAATGGGGGAGAGATGGAGTGGCCATGTGTCCACTTATTTGACGCATGAGAGGCTTTGAGAAAAGGTGTTGCATGGGGGATAAGTAACCAAGGTAGCTAAGTCTTCCCCCCATTCTCTTCCATTCTGGGTAGGGCTTCATCTTGCAATGTCCTTCTTCTTCCTCAAGTGGTGAGACCTAGAGTGGTCCTCTTTCTTGGTGCTGGAAGGATTTATTCTAGAATTTGGAGTGGAGAACATTGAGAAGGCTGAGAGGAGGTTTTCTCCAAAGAGCCCCTAATTCTTCTTCCTTTTCTTCTTCCCAATCATTTTTTCTTCTCATTCTTCTTCCTCTTTTTCCACCACTTCACTTAAGTGCATGAGGAGACCTTTCTTGCGGAAGAGCTCAGCTAGTGAAGGATCTAGTTTTTTTCTCTCCTATGCAAAATGAGAGCTTCATTCTAGCTTGAGGAAGGATTGTCGGTGCTTCGCTGAAGCTCAGAAATTCACTAGAACAGGACTTTTTCATCTCTCCTACTGCTAGGAGAGATTCTTTTAGAACAAACGTTGGACATCAATCGACCACTGTGGCAATAAGATTGATTAAATTTTTTCTCTTTGATGCTTCAAAACTTACCACGAGGAAAGTCAACCATACAACACAAGTACATATATCAAGTAGTACTTCGGTTAAAGAGTGTCGCATATCGATCCCACAGAAAAAATGCAATATTTGCATCCACAGAAAAATCTCTATTTTCATAATTTAGTTAACTTAGCTTGGCATCTTTGAAAAATAGGTTTGAAATCTTAATTCTAATGAAAACAGAATAGATCGCAGATGGTGGAAACAGTAAACTGGAAAGATCTCAAGAATTCCCTCAAGTTTAATGAGGCTCATGCCGCTATGATTAGGGGACTGTGATGATTGTGGTTTTGTAAATTTTTTCTTACTTGATTGTTACAAATCACGGATATGTTACTAATTATACCTATGTCTAGGTCAAAAGAATGCTAGAAACCTTGAACTTGAGGCCTTTTCAATCCCCATGGCATTCTGCATTACTATGCTAATCACTAGAAAGATTGCAGAATTCCACTGGTACATGTCAACTCTCTTGGGATTGTATGGTTAACCCTTTATTTCCACTATGCAACGTTCTGAAGTCGTAGTTTCATGAAACATTTTAACATTATAGTTGGAAAGACTAGGAGTAAATTAAGAATGGAAGTTAATCAGCAACAAGGCTCATGAATGCATGAGAAAACATTAATGAAAAATCATTTTAGAAAACCACAACGCAAATCATTACCCCTACATCACAAAGGCATAAAAAAAAGTCTAGCCACACATTGACGAGAACCACAAATTCAAAATCTGTGTAGATTTTCATTACAGAAGATAAATAGGAGCAGTAATTTAGAATAAAAGTTGTCCTCTCCATAAGAATAACACATTTTTCTCTCATAAAATAGATCTCTCAAAAGCTCACAAGAATTTTATGATGAAAACACACCTCTTGAGGATTCAATCTAAAGGGAGGAGAGAACCCCAATAGAAATACTTCCTCGAGTCAAAACTCACCCCTTCTTTCAGCCTCTAGCCGCCCATGATGCCCTAAGATCAGCCTCATGAGTTAATTTGTAGGCAAGACTCAACAAAGGCAATAAAATTCTAACCAAACTAAGTTTCTGCGAGCTCGCGCGGGCATGCCACGAAGATGGCGAGGGTGTGTTAGGTGCGGCGCGGGTGCTTCGCAACTATGGTGTGAGTGCACTTGAAGCTAAACTATTGAGTGTGCGGGTACCGACACAGATGCTTTTCATTGGGCGCGGGGGTGTTGAACACTGTGTGAGTGCGCCATTTTGGCGACACAGGTGCGCTGGTCCGAAATCCTCGTATTTGTACTTGTTTTCATCCTTTTTTACATCAAACTCTCTTTTCTCCCTCTATTATGCACAATTAAGACAAAACATACATTTCTCGAGTATAATATGGTATAAAAAGATGTAATACATGGGGAATTGTACTATTTAAATGTCACATATTTTAACTTTATCATCACATATTTTAATTTTATCATTCTTCATTTCTTTACGGCCTCTAGATCTAGTTATTAGAGAATCTAAGTTAAGATTCTTAATGTTTCTAGAGGAAACTTTATAACTTTAGACCTTATGAGATGTCATCATGAATCCAAGTGTGAACCTACCCTTTTTATTTTTAGCACGAAATCCCGTCGTCGTAACCCCACATTTGCGCCAGTAATTTCGTTCTCACGATGGAAGGGAGCAAAATCTGTCGGAGTAGAAAACAAAAAATGCCCATTAGCTTTGACATTCCCTATGCGTAAAGACTTTCCTTTTGAAATTCCTTTGTGCTGGCCAAACGGAACTGGCCGCCCACCACTTTGTAGCCACAAACGATCAAGCCTCTTTGTCATGTGCATGTATTCGCATGTGCATTATGTGTTTGGCAAGGTTTTTGTTAAATATGCATTAAAACTATCTAATTTTGCACGTCGCCCCATTAGCTTGTCTGATCGACCCCACCGACTAGTTTGGCAAGACCGACCATCTTTTGGCAATTCAACCGATCGGACACACTGGTTCAAATGGATCGATCGTCTTGTTCGCTGGATAGTTTGATCGACACCATCAGTCTGATCAGAACGTCAACTATATTTTGTCAATCTGATTGATCAGTCGCATCGGCTCGTTCAAATCTATCTTCTTCCCTAATCGGCTCATCCAATTGGCCCCACCAGCCTAATGGACAAGACCCCTTTATTTATTTGAGGAATATGGGCCCCACTATTCTTCAATTAAATGCACTCCTTTAGTATACTCCATTTTTTTTTTTTTTTTTTTATTTATTGGGAGTTCCTTCCCGCATAATATACTGATAAATGAGCTCCTTTTTCAGACTTTGTTCAATCTTAAACATACATTACAACAGAAGTTACAGCATTTCTTTTTCTCTCTCGACAGGAACCAAAGAGCCCCTGAATTTAGAAAAACTGTAAATTTATAAGGGATTTACAATTTCTGAATTTATAAATACTATTAAACGCTAAATCTGACTAAAACCAAAGACCCCCTCACTCTCTCCTCCCAACATATCTCGGAGTAGAAGCATAACAAAATTTTGAAATCCGGTCAAGACCAGCCAGGCCAGGCTCATGCTTCGCAGTAAAAGGGAAGAACCCTGAGGCAATTTCGAAAACAGACAGTTGCCGGATTAGAAAGGCTAGTAGACTGAAAAGGTTCCGAAAGCTTTAAATGCCCCCATTAATGGCAGACTCTGACGGGAGCTCGCCCGCTGCCACTCCTTGGCCTCTGGCTTTGCTTTGGAACCCCTCACTTCCTTCCCTTTGCCCGACTCCTCATTCTTATCGCTGGAAGCCTGCCCCTGCTCCATTCGAAATCGCGCTCCCGTTGAAATTAATTTAAAAAAAGGTTAGCGGGAGATCAAGTTTCTTTCGCAAAAGAACCGCCTTGGAGAAGAAAAGAAGATGCCGAACTGAGAATTTGGTTTCAGGGATGTATAAGAACCAGCTGCAGGAGCTAGCGCAGAGGAGCTGCTTCAATCTGCCGTCTTACGCCTGCGTGAGAGAAGGCCCAGACCATGCGCCTCGGTTCACAGCTTTCGTCAACTTTAATGGCGAGATCTTCCAAGGCCCAAGCCACTGCACCACGCTTCGTCAGGCAGAGCACGCCGCCGCGGAGGTTGCCCTCACTAATCTATCATCAAGAGCCCCTTCTCGCTCCCTCGCAGCTCGGGTCCTGGTAAGCCCCTCTCACTGCTTCTCACAAAATGCGATTTTTATTCACTCTCACATCCCAAGTGCGATCTTTCTCTCTGTTACTGTGTAAAGGATGAGACGGGGGTGTACAAGAACCTCCTCCAGGAGACGACCCACAGAGCTGGGCTGAACCTGCCGGTGTACACGACTGTGAGGTCCGGCCCTGGCCACCAGCCTGTTTTCACGTCCACTGTGGAACTCGCTGGTATGTGTATCTCTGGCGAGCCTGCGAAGACCAAGAAACAAGCAGAGAAGAACGCAGCCATGGTCGCTTGGTCCGCCTTGAAGCAAAGTAAATGGGTCAATAACGGTCTTATTTTCTTGTCCTTTCAGCGCTGTACCGTTTCTTTTTGTACTGATTTCCCTTTTCTTGCAGTGCCTGATTTAGAATCCTTGTCTTGGTCGAGGGATACGAGTGCGGGTGGCGGAGGAGGTGGAGGAGAAGAGCAGGAACAGGTAGTGAGATATCTTCAAAACATAAAACCCAAGGAAGAGAACAGGCATGCGAGGCAGAGGGAGCATTGCCAGCAGCAACAACAGAAGCCGAAGAAAAAGTTAGTCGGTTTCAATGATGGAACCTCCTCCATTTCTTCACCTCATCGATCCGTTAATTTCCAGCAACAATGGAGATCCCTCGATCCCTTTGCTGACTTCACTTCGATCCATTCTTCTCCGCAGCAGCAAAAAAAACGTTCTTTTTTAGCTCCACTCCATCCCACAGGACGAAAACTCGTGTCCCCATTGCAGTTCACTTCAAATTCCTCTGCATCTTCTCAGGAGCCTTTCTCCTCAAGTGGTACGATTAACAGCTCTATAATCCTCCCAACCGCTCGTCCCGTTCCATCTATTGCTGGAAATACCTCCTCCCAGTCTAGATCACAAGAAACCCAAACTCTCTCTGATGGAAAAAACCCAGAGCGATTATATGAGAAGGCTATTCAAGGAAAGCCTTCCTCTTCTTCTGTTCTATCAAATTCTTATGCAGATCCAAACACTTTAGTCCATGCTGGACGGGCATTCAGCCCTCCCCCCATCAAAATTTCGAAAGGGGAAGACCCACAGAGAACCTCTTCAACAATCCCTGTTCCCAAAATAATGAACACGGGTGGATTCCATACCCATGGCATTGCTCCAGCAGTTCAAATCCGGTCGGTGATCCCGGTCTGTTCTGCCCCGCCTACCCGGCAACCACAGCAGTCACCGGTGACAAACACCCTCCCCTCTTTAGTCCCAAACAAAGAAACAGAGAGCGCAATTTCAGGAACCATTCCAAAACTCAACAATCTGCAGCTCTGAGCAAAAAAGAGTCTTTCAATCTCTTATACTATTGTCGTGTTAATCTTCTACAAATCATCCAAGTCCTTCAATTTATGCTTGTGAGCTCCCTTGAGAACTTTGACTTTTGTGCTTCTCTCATCTCCAATGGAGTCTTGTTTCATTTTGGTTTATATATCAATTTTGCTGCCACTTCTTCATGAGCCGCCCAAGCATCTATTAGTCTGCAGATGAATTAGAGGCTAAGAGGCAAGAGCACCATTGCAAACTTCATTGAAATGCTTTATCCAATTTGTTGCCCGTTTCTTATGATACATAATCTATGTTTCTTGGTTGAGTTCTGTATAAATTCTTAATTAATCGTTAGCTAAACTCTTAGAAAATTGCAGAAATTCCAGGTGTTCTTTCTCTGTTGCTCCTCAAAGTCCCCAAATCCGCAAGATTTGAGAAGGAAAACAACAGCCATGGCTGTGTAGAACACAACCGTGCACTTGTGCTGCTGTTCATGACTGAAATGAACAAGCTTTGCAATGCCATTAATTGTTATCTGAGCAGGAAGCCTCAGGGAAGCTATTGGCCATGGTGATGGCCCTGTGTAACGGATGGGTGCATTCAATGCTGCGTTCGGGGGTTGGGTTGAGAGAGAAAGTATGAGGTAAGAAAACAATGCAGTGTGGAGCATAGCTTTTAAGTTTGTGGCCAGTCATTCAATGGTGTCTGTCCAATCCATTAATGCCGATTTCAGTATGGCTGCTTTTAATAATTTTAGGTAGCCATATCGATGTCAGAGAAAGCTCTCAGTCTTCACTCTGCTGATTAATGGTTATTAAAGGCTACTAACATGGCGTAGTAAATTAGTTATCAATTTTCAGTATTATATGAGAAAGTATATAAAAAATTTGAGAATTTGGTCGGTATTACTTTATGATGCGCCCATATGAATTTTATAATATAAATTGTAGAAGTTGGATAAAAATCAAATAAGTAGAGCTGTTAAAATGGTTTGTTTTTCGCGAAGAGCTCATGTTCGGCTTGTTAAGAAACTCGTGTTCAGTTATTTTGTTTAGTTAATGAGTAGAACAAAAACAAATATTTGTTCGTTTGTGTACGGTTGATTTTGTCATCGATGAGTAGTATTTTCAAAAAATTTAAATGACTACGGGGCTATAAAAATTTATAATTAATTAAAAGTATTAATTAAGAAAATATAATAAAAATTATTAAATTAAATTTAAATAATGTTTTAAAATGTCTCATTCCTTAATATCTTATGGCATAATTCTTTGTTCTTAGTTGGTTTTGTTCGGATCGTTAAGTGAACGAGTCGAACATAAACACAATTTTTGAGCTCGAAATATAAACGAGCCGAACACGAGCTAAGCCTGGTTCGCTCGTGTTCGGCTCGTTTACACCCCTACAAATAAATACTACATTAAGAGTAAATAAGAAGTAATAAGATATTTAATAACAATAACTTCAATTATTTTTGCGATTGAAGTTATTGTTTATAATATATAAAATATGTACCAATTTTTCTAATATTATATAAATTTGATATCTTTACAATGTGTTGGGCATGTTTACTTTGTGTTCGATATATGTACATGGCACTTGATCGTATGTCATAGACATTATTTAGATTATTTTTTGTAGTGTTAAAGTTAGGTGATGATGATGGATGATATGAATACAAGCTTATTATGGAAAAGAACGTTTTGTTGTAATGGAAGTGGAGTATTTTTTGCCTCTATTTAGTGAAAATATTATAAATATGATTTAATAGTTTAGATTAAATGATTTAGTAGCCTAGATTCAATGATCTCATTATAGATGATTTGTATACATACCACTAAATCTCTATGTATTTGCATATCTAGCCCAAAAGCTTCAATTTTTACATGTACCATCTTACTCATGCATGTATATGGTATAAATGTGAAATATAAAGTTTAGGTTGTCATATATATGAATACATAAAGTTGAGTGATATGTTAAGTGACCCTAGAATATTTTTTTTATTTATTGTTTAACTAAAATGTTAAAATATGGCTTTCATTTTAGAGATGTTATCTCGAGAAAAATAGAAGAGAATATTGGAAAATTGTGAAAGCCATCATTGCTCTTAAGGTTGATGGTGAGAAATAATATATGTCAATGGCAATTGAGGAATGGATGGATGATGGAGGACTTCAATGCCAAATGGCTTTAGATGATGATAAGCATGAGATGATGGAGAAGATGCAAGATTATTTAAATGATGGAGTATGGGCAACTAAAATCTGTCAATTGGTGTTTGGAGGCTTACATTGGAAGGATGATGGTGAATGGAGTTATGGAATTTTAATACAAATTTTTATTTTTCTTTGTTGTAAAACCTCACTTGAATGTATAAATATATGCCATGGCATTTTGGAGGACAAGTTAGGTAATTTCTATCATAATCTTGACTTTATTACTTGGTATTACACCATTCCTCTCATTGTGTTGATATTTTTTTTTTAGCATCATAGTTAAATTGTTGCTTTAGATTCATCATGATACTTTTTTTTTATCATAAAGATGCACAATTTAAGTTTATAATCATAGTGGTGAGTATTTGATTAAGGTTATTCGATCTCAAATAACAACATTTTTAGTATTATTGAACTCATCCCTCTTAATTGTATTCTTCAACATAAATTTCTTGAAAATAAAGTTCAAATTATCCCGATGTTATTTTCAGAAATTTTTGCTTGAATATTTATGTGATTTGAGACCTAAAATTAGTGCTTAATTTAGTAATTTTTTTAGTGAGATAAGTAGCCCTTATCTTAGGATGAACAGATTGGGACTTGAAAAGGACTTGAAAATTTTAGTGTGCAACCACTTCTCAAAGTTTCCTCTAAATGTTTTCTCAGACATTGAAAATGCTAAAATTGTGTATAGTAAACAAAAATAGTTTTTGGAGGTCCTATGCAACTTAAAATAACTAGTTTAGTGTTCAAGTGCTCAATAGATGACTTGTGCGTAGAGAATGCATTACCATGCATGTTTTGTTACATATAATTTTAGCATTAAAATTTTTAAATTTAAATTTTATTTTATGAAAAAGAGTTTTGATAGTTTTATTTATAAAATAATTGAAAATTCACAAAAAACAATCTATTTTTTTAAATATTTTCTCATTTCCTCTAAATACTACATGTACCTCATTTTGTGGGTATTTGAGAATACATATAATTTTTTTTTTGTCTACAAATTTCCTCAATAAATAAGCTAAAATTTACCCAAGGTATAATTGTAATTATTAATTGAGTCAAACAATCTTTATGACAAGATCTTCATATTTCTCTAAGAATAGGTTGTTCTCATCAAAATGAATTTGCTCTAATGAAAGATGTTTGAAGTTCATAAACCATATGATTGATCTGATTTTTCTTTAATAAAGAGTTCAAATTCCTAATTTCTCTGGCGTAGATTCATTAAAAGTCATTTTGAAGTCCAATATTCCAATTACGTAGATTCAACCTTTCTTCAAACGAAGGATCCACTATCTTAGTTTAGATGGATTAAAATTGGAGTAGATTTAAGCCTTTCATAATCCTTAAGAAAGCTCTTATAGTTCCTGGAAATGGGGGCCAATTATCCACATTTGAATGAACTTGATTCAAGAACAAGTGTCTGAGATTCATTAAAAATATGATGAGACTTAGGGTGTATTTTAGGGTGATTGCAACTATTTGAAGAGATAACTTTTCATTAGATACAAAAGATGCTACCATGGAAAGCTGTTATGGGTGAAGTTGTAAATCTGTTGTGGTTAATTCAGCTGTGCTATAGCTGTTTCTAAATTTAAAACCGTATAGCCTTTCAGTACATATTGTATATATAAGCTAACCATTTCATAATTAACACACATATAACAATACAAATGAAATTCAAATGGTTTATAAAAGTCACAAGTCCAAATCATACATCAAAAGTTATACATCACAAATAATGAGTAATAGAAAAATTAAAATTATAATAACAATAAGTAATTTTTTTGCAATATTAGTTTTAAATTACAAACAATCAAGTATACTAGAAAACTTTCTTTCTAAAGCTACTTTATTTCATGAACTCATATTTCCCAATAAATTAGAGTTTATTAAACAAAAATAGCTTCATATTAATGTTATAATGAAATTTATAAAAAAAAAATTCTAAAAACAGCAATAATACAAAGAAAATGTTAAAAAATGAAGTGAGGTACTAGAGTCAGTATAAATAAACAAATAATTTATCATTATAAGGAAACAAAGGGCCTAGAAATAAAGGGAACTTAGTTTCTTCTATGCAATTAGTATTGAACTCATATATGTCGGAAAACTTGGCAACACAAAGGCCATCTAGAAGGATCCCTAGGGCCATATTAGTAAAAAAATAAAGGGATCTTGGTTGCATTGCTACCAAACTCCTATAAGTCAAAAATTATAATAGCACAAAGGCTATTTAAAAGAGCCCATATGGTCTTATATCTCATCAGAGACCTAAAAAAAAAAAATTTAAAATACACATTGCATAAGAGTTCATCTAGGTGAGAGAAAACATAAGAACTTTGTATTGTAATACTAATATCTATGAACCTTTTGCATCAACCTCAATTAAACATAGTAGAAGAATAACCAATGAGAAAAAAAAAAGAAAAGTTAGTTGCGCGTGTGCAGTTCATCAGAAGAACGTATTAAGGTTCTTAAGTAAGGTAACAACCAACAGTATAAATATGAGTATTAATCCTCACATTTTAGCAATTTTGATACTTTCAAATGATTAGGATGTTACTAAGCGTTTTATTTTAATGTTTTGCTCACTTCTTCTTTCATAAGATAATACTTAGTGTCCTACATGATACTAGTAAGACATATAGATTTACATGCCATATTCATTGTATTGTAACTTGTATAAAATTTGGGAGAAACATGTACCTTCACCCTTCAAAAAAGCTGAAATTTACTCCAATAATGATATGTGGATGAAAACAATAAAAAAAGAAATGAACTCATTTATAGAAAATAATACTTGAAAACTTATGCAAAGACAATAGAAGCAAGAGTTTTGGAGGTTTTGCAAAGATTTTTAACCATAAAAAAGTGATTTCAGGGATTGAGAAGCCATGGTTAAAGAATGATGGAAGGAAAGAAGTTTAATTAGAAAGAGGGAGTACTATTTATAAAATTATTTTACTTTAGTGGTGAAGTGTACATCAACTAAGATTTTGCTTACTTTTATTAAAATTTAATTTCAATAAAATAGTAAAATAATTAGGTATCACAACCACATTTCTTCATGGAGCATAGGAGGAGAAAATATATATGCAATAGATGGAAGGCCTCTAGGTCAAAGGAAAGAAAATCATGTTTATTTGATCAAGAATTCTATGTCTGGCCTAAAATGCTCCCCTTATCATGTTATAAGAAATTTTATCAGTTCATATGCTTAATTTATACATTTCATATGTAATAAGTACATATAACCCTTATTTTTTAAAATGATATACATAGAACTTGTAGTAATATGTTAGAAATTACAAAAGAAAATTATCAATTTAAAACTACTTTTAAAAGGAAATATCTTAAATATTTATAGGAGATCCCAATCATAAAAATGACACAGACATGATGGAAACTTGTTGTCACATTAGCAAATGTTTAATAGTAATATGATTAATAAATTATGAATAATTAAATCTAGGTAGATAAAAACATCTATTTTACAATATTTTACGTTGTTAATATAGGCTTTCCATTATTAAAAGAATTGAGAATAAAGATGGAAAAGAATTCCATAATTTAGTGATGTTGATTTCCTTATATATTATATAGTGTATGTGACGACTACTTTTATATTATACCAGTACACCTCCTATGGTCTGATCTTACAATTTGGCATGCATCTCATATTTTTTTT